CCCCAGGTCCCTCTCTGACTGGCAGCTCTCCAGCCACTCCTCCCCAAGCCTGTAGCGCTGCTGGGGGTTGTTGTGGCCCAAGGGCAGCCCCCGGCATTTGGCCTTATGGAAACTCCCCCAGTTGGCCTCAGCCCATGGCTCCAGCCTGTCCAGGTCTCTCTGCAGAGCCTCCCTACCCTCGAGCAGATCAACACTCCCACCCAACTGGGTGTCAGCTGCAAACTGACTGAGGGTGCACTCGATGCCCTAGTCTAGATCATCAATAAAGATGTTAAACAGGAGTGGCCCCAAAACCCAGCCCTGGGGGACACCACTCGTGACCGGCTGCCAACTGGATTTAACTCCGTTCACCACAAATCTTTGGGCCCGGCCATCCAGACAGTTTTTTACCCAGCAAAGCGTGTGCCCATCCAAGCCACAAAGCAGCCAGTTTTGACAGAAGAATTCTGTGGGAAACGTAGTCAAAGGTCTTACTAAAGTCAAGGTAAACCACATCCACAGACTTTCCCTCATCCAATAAGCAGGTTGTCTTGTTGTAGGAGGAGATCAGGTTTGTCAGGCAGGACCTGCCTTTCATAACCCCATGCTGACTGGGCCTGATCCCCTGGTTGTCCCGTATGTGTTGTGTGATGGTATTTAGGATGAGCTGCTCCATCACCTTCCTCGGTACCAAAGTCAAGCTAACAGGCCTGTAATTTTCTGGATCATCCTTCCAACCCTTTTTATATACAGGCATCTCATTGGCCAATTTCCAACCTGTTGGGACCTCCCTGGTCAGCCAGGAGTGCTGGTAAATGATGGAAAGTGGCTTGGTGAGCGCCCCAGCCAGCTCCTTCAGCACCCTCAGGTGTATCCCATCCGGTCCCATAGACTTGTGTGTGTCTATGTGATGCAGTAGATCACTGACTCTCTCCTCCTGGAATGTGGGGGTTTCATTCTCCCAGTCTCTGTCTTCTGGCTGAGAAGGCTGGATTCCCTCAGTCCTCACTACAACTAGTACTGTTATTAAAGACTGAGGCCAAGAAGGCATTAATCTCCTCAGCCTTTTCCTCATCACTTGTCACCATGTTTTGTCCCATGTCTAGCAGGGGATGGAGGCTCTCCCTGGTCTTTCTTTTGCTGCTCACATACTTACAGAAACATTTCTTGTTACCTTTGATTACTGAAGCCAGATTAATTTCTAGCTGGGCTTTAAACCTCCTGATTTCCACCCTGCATAGCTTCACAGCATCTTTGTAATCATTGAGTGGCTAGCCCCTTATTGCAAAGGCTGTAAACTCTCCTTTTCTCCCTGAGTTGCAGCCAAAGCTCCCTGTTCAGCCAAGGTGGCCTTCTCCAGCAGCAGCTTCTTTTACAGCATCCCATCTGATGGCCAAAAGGTCTGGCATCCTCTATACTAACCTGTGATTGAAAAATTCAAAGCCCTGCCAGTAACACCAGTTTCAGAGCCACAAGATCCCTCTGTGGAACCTTCCTACCCTCAGGCAAATCCACTCTCTTGCCCAACTTGGTGTCATCTGAAAACTTACTGAGGGTGCACTTAATCCCCTCATCCAGATCACTTATAAATATATTAAGCAGACTGCTGTGGACGGAGGAAGCAAGCAGTTGATTCAATATGAATGATAGAGCAAGCTTCAACTTTACTGAAAGAAATCACACCTTATATAAGCACTAACTATAATTATGCACACTAATCATAAATCTATTGGATACATCCAAAAGGCTACATTATAATATCCCAGCCCCTTGTGGCATTTCAGGTATGTCACAACATCTTCCTTCCTCTGGCTTGTTTACTTTCCCAAGGCTGTTTACCATCACACTCAAAGCCATTGTGTACCTCAGTTTCTCTCTTTGTTAACATAAGAGTCTTTTGTTAGCATAACTGTGCCAGAATCTCCTTCCTTGTTAGCATAACTGTACCCTGGGTTTTTTCCTTTGTTTACCTCAGATGGCTGTAATCAGCTCCTGCACAGACCCATGGCCTTGCTCTGCAAGCCAATCTCCAACAGCAGACCTGGTGCCACTACTGAACCCTGGGTAACACCACTTGTGACAGGCCACCAGCTGGATTTAACTCCATCCAACACTGTGCTTTGGGGCCAGCCATCCAGCCAATCTTTTATCCAGTGAAGAGTACGCCTGTCCACAACACGAGCACTGGTTTCTGCAGGAGAATTCTGTGAGAAATATGACAAAGGCCTTACTAGAGTCCAGACAGACAACATCCACAGACTTTCCCTCATCCATTAAGTGGGTCACCTTGTTATATTAGGAGACCAGGCGAGTCAAGCAGGATCTGACTTTCATAAACCCATGCTGACTGGGCCTGATCACCTGGTTGTCCTGCTGTACTTGCTGTGTGATGACACTCAAGATCCATTCCATAACCTTCCCTGGCACTGAGGTCTGACTGACAGGCCTGTAGCTCCCCAGATCCTCTTGCTGTCCGTTCTTGTAGACGGGCATCATATTTGCTAACCTCTATCAACTGGGACCTCCCTGCTTAGCCAAGACTGCTGATAAGTGATTGAAAGTGGCTTGATGAACACTTCCATCAGCTCCCTCAGTACTCTTGGGTGGATCCCATAGACTTGTGTATGTCTTCAGTGGCGTAGCAGGTCACCAACCATTTCCCCTTGGATTACAGTGGCTTCATTCATCTCCCTGTCACTGTCTTCCAGCTCAGGGGGCTGGGTACCCCGCCACCAACTGGTCTTACTTTTTTAAAGACTGAGGTGAAGAAGGCATTATGTACCTTAGCCTTTTCCACATCCTTTGTCACTGTTTCCCCCACCACACCCAATAAAGGATGGAAATTCTCCTTAGTCTGCCTTTTGTTGCCAATGTATTTATAGAGACATTTTTTTATTGTCTTTTATGGCAGTAGCCAGATTTAAGCTCTAGATGGGCTTTGGACCTTCTAATTTTCTCCCTACATAACATCACAATACCTTGTAGTCCTCCTGAGTTGCCTGCCCCTTCTTCTGAAGGTTCTAAGCTCTCATTTTTATCCTTAGTTCCACCCAAAGCTGTCTGTTCAGCCAGGCCAGGACTACCCCCTTCAGGTGCAGAATCCAGCACCTAAGTACATATGTATATTGTTGGAAAAATTGAGAGAAAAAATACCTGCAAGCTAAACTACTTCTCCCAAGAGGCCAACAAGTGTTTCAAGTTTTTCAGAGCAAAAGAAAGTACTCAATATTGTTTGTAGGGGGAATCCAATACATTTAAGATGTCTATTCTGAAAAGCAGGAAAAGTAGACAAGCTATATAATCTTTTTTTTTCTATAATATTACAGTTAATACAATTCTGAACTGAGATGTGGTGATATTTCTACAGAGACCTAGGAGTTTGACATCTTTTGTATTAGAAGTAGTATCAAGTTATATCACACAAACTCACAAAACAGCATTGCGCTACAACTTCAGGTTTAAAGTTGGACTGAAGTATGCTAGTTTAGATTTCTAACACATTATTAGCTACACTCAAAATTAAGAACATTAATACAGTAAGTAATCTTCTTTGCTTTCTGTATTCATAAACATTAAAATGTACTTTTTTGCTACATTGAATAAGGCTACTAAAATTGTCTTAAATGTACACTATTTTTGAGCCTTAAAACAAAGATAATCACATCTGCAATCCAAGAAAAATGAAGTTTTAAGACAGTAGTACAAGAGAAATCCCAAAGCATCCATCAACCATCACCACAGTGCTCCTCTTACACCTCACTCCTGTTTTGCCAATTATTAGGCCTAGCATACACAGCCAGCATAAAGATGAACCAATACCCAAACTGTATTTGATACAAAAGGGTGAGTACATGGGTGAACACTGGGGGTACAAACAAATCAATCAGATTATACATAATTGACATCAACCCCACTGACCCCAACAACACCACCACATGACCAACAATGGGCGGAATAAGTGGTGAAATACATCTCCCATAGAAGGGACAGGAGACAACCGAGTTAACAAGCCAAACACATAAGACCAGGGAAGCCACATACTGAATCTCTACACAGCCCATGTTTACAAAAGCCAGACCTGACTGGAGCCCAGTCCCAGGGAGGCAGGAGGTCCTTCCCCAACAGGGAACTCTGCACAGTGCCTCCACCTCACAGACAGACACTGCTCCTTCTGTAAGCGGTCCCAGCTTTTATCCCTCAATGGGACACCTGACCCTTGTTTACTTAATGCAGACACCTGGGGCTCATTTACCCAATGGCTCTCCCTGCCAGGCCGGCCGCTCCCTGGAGGGAAGCCTAAAGGCAAACTCACCCCCTCTTTGGGAAGGGCTGTGGGAATCACCCATATGTCAACCTCAATCTGGGGCTTAGGGTGGAAACCCCAGCATTTCAACTCCATACACTAAGCAACCACAGTTACCTGATCTACTCAGGGAGCATAACAAAAAACCACTGCTGGGTATACTCTCGTGTGCTTTGTAGCCAGAAAAAGCTGTCTTTTTTTTCCCGATTGCGTTTTGCAAGGAAACAGGCTTGCACTCAGCCCCACTCACATGGGAGGAGAGGCCACTAACGCCCTCAGGGCTCGGAAGCTGCACGCAGGCCCTGCAAACCCTCAGCGGGCCCAAGAGCTCCTACCTGCAGACGCCCATCTCTCATCGTCTCCTTCCTCATCCCCTGCACGTCTCCAGAAGTAGGAGAGCACCTTGGAAAAAAGGCCGAGCATCCCGAGGCACCCTGCCAGCCAAATCCCCCTCGGGCACCTCTCCGAGCACACTCCTATAGCCACGTTTCAAGCCCCCCACGCCGCCGCCAGCCAATCACGCCGCTCGCTCCTGGTCACGTGAAAGAGCCCACGCCACGTGCCCTTGGGCGGGCGAGGGGAGGTGTTGAGGGGCGATGCAGCTTTTCCCGCTGCGGGCGCGCGGGCTGGAGGGCGTGGCGCGGCGTGGCGTGGC